TAAAATAAAGTTGCAGCGGCAGACTAAAGTACGGTTTCAACACCTTAAAAATTGACATAAAGAAATAAGAAGAAAAAATGCCTATATGTAAGACTTTGTTTGAGAGGTTTAGTCAAATGTGTAAGCCACATAGATATACTCTAATATTGTGACACCTCGTCCCGCAAGCCACGCAAAGCCTGATGTGTCGGGATTGTAGACTGACCCCAAAGGTCAACATGAGTCATTTCAGCACGTTTTTTTCTTCACTCACGCACACCCTAGAAGACTTCCCAAGGGTCACTCATCCTCAAATTATTCTAAGGTAAGCACGTTTACCTCTGAAGTTCTTTTAGTTGGGCTCCCGAAAAGGAATGTGTACATTGTTAATATGAGTAGTCTATTCAATCCACTTAACCTATATTCAACCTCGGATGGCCTGAAACCTGCTCATCCACAGATTTAGCCTAGCACCAGCCCAACTTCGAGAGTATTACAAATATAAAATTGTTTGTCTCCTAAAAACATAATGGCATAAGTTAGTTGTAAAAAGAATTAAGAGGTATGGAGTGTGACCTCAGTCTAGCAAACAGTTATGACTCCTCAATATACTTAATGGCCCATCAAAGCCCCAACGGATAGAAATTGGATAGCTAACAAGGTGCATGGACACCTCAAGATAGCTACATTATCCAAAAAATAGCAAAAACAATACTCACACCTATCCAAGAGATTGTATGAGAAAGCTCAGCTTACAGAAGATGTAAGGGAGGCCCCATGACTTTGGGAGCAAAAAGATATAGTTTTAGACAAACACAACCTATGATGTGAATTAGAAAACAATACTGACACCTATCCAAGAGATTGGATGAGAAAGCTCAGCTTATCGAAGATGTAAGAAGGCCCCATGACTTTGGGAGCAAAAAGATATAGTTTTAGACAAACACAACCTATGATGTGAATTAGAAAACAATACTGACACCTATCCAAGAGATTGGATAAGAAAGCTCAGCTTATCGAAGATGTAAGGGAGGCCCCATGACTTTGGGAGCAAAAAGATATAGTTTTAGACAAACACAACCTATGAAGCCAATTAGAAACTTGCAAAAATATAAAGGCCCAAAAGCAAATTAATAGGAAATGACTTTTATACTATGTTAGAATATGAAACTGAAATTCTCTATTTCAATCATAAGAATAAGTACATATTTATAGTGATATACAAATCGTCTAAATAAGGCAAGAATCATATGAATATCTTAAATAAGACAACTGTCATAAATATATTATATTTGTTCTCAATATATTTTAACACCCCTCCTTAAACTCAAGATATGATCGAACAAACTTGAGTTTGTCAAAAGTGATTGAAAAAGATATAGTCGAGATCTTCCACGTATAAATTTGAATTCGCGAAGATTGACTGAAAGGGATTGGAAACAAGACTCGCTCGCTCACAACGGAACTAGAGTCGAAAACAAAACTCATTGACTCTTAATAGAGCTAGAGTCAGAAATAGGACTCGCTCGCTCACAACAAAGCTAGAGTCGTAAACAGGACTCCCTCGCTCTCAATAGAGTTAGAGTTGAAAACTGGACTCTCAACGACGTTAGAGTTGAAAGTAGACTATGACAGTGGAGTAGTAGAGACGGAGACGGCATGAAAATAACAGCATGACCGTGAATAGAATCAGATACATCAATAAAATATAAAAATATATATATAACTGGTCATAGATGTACCCGGAGAGAATTTGGCTCTATTACCATGTTAGAATTTTGGGGAAAAAATAATAAAATTGTATTATTGATCATCAAAATAAGTAATCTAATCTATGAATGAGACCAAATCTAAGTAATCTAATATATGAATGAGACCAAATCTAAATATAAATCTACTAATTTAAAACCGAATATTTAAAATATTTTAACATCCCCCTCAAACTCAAGTGGTATAACATAAATCAACTTGAGTTTGATAAGGAAGTTGAATATAAATGCAAAAATAAAAAATAAAAAATAAAAATAACAGTTGACTCTCCACCGGAGCCGAACACAGTTGACTCTCCATCGGAGCCAAAAACGATATGACTCTCCACCAGAGCTGAAAACAACATGACTCTCTACTGAAGCCAAAAACAACATGACTCTCTACCGGAGCCGAAAACGACATGACTCTCTATTGGAGCTGAAACAGAAGATCGCACGCAAACAACAGACAAGCAGCGGACAGATGGCAGATGACAAACAGATTTCATATTGCACGCAGGCAACAGACAGACAACGGACAGATGGCAGGTCACAGACAGATTTCATATCGCACGCAGGCAACAAAAAGACAGTAGACAAATCACATCGTAAAAATGGGAAATATCACAGAACAGATTGCACACACTAGACATATCATAGAACATATCGCAAAAAAGATCGAATAACCCAACCGGTAACAGTCGCAAAAAAAAAATCAACTACGATCACAAAACCAACCCCACCACAGCGTAGGGAATTAAAGCAGGAGGCGGCGGCCGGAGGTAGCCCCACCACACGCGGCCGGAAGAGCGCCGGCGAAAAAGCTCTTCCGCAGCGATTTGCATCGACGGCGCATGATGGCTCCACGCATGGCGGTTGGCGGAGAATTTTCAGTGGCTGGCCGGTGACGACAAGGCGCTTCCAACAGCGGCGACGGTGTCGACCGGCGAGTAGCGGGTGGCGGCGGTTGCTAGGGTTTCTATTTTGAAAAATCGAGCTAGCAGACAGATCTTAGAAAAATTTCATAGACAAATTTCCAAAGGTATGATCTCAAAATCACAAGACCTCAGGGTACAGTCCAGGTTGATTGTACCCGAAGAAACACGGGTTTGTAAGCTATATCTACGACATGAGAAAAATAGGCTCTGATACCATGTTCGAATATGAAACTGAAATTCTCTATTTCAAGAATACGTACATATTTATAGTGATATACAAATCGTCTAAACAAGGCAAGAATCCTACGAATCTCTTAAATAAGACAACTATCATAAATATAATATATTGCTTCTAAATATATTCAAACATATTAGATCGAGGTGTGTGACACATGAATATCGAAAGACCAATCCAAGAAATGTAGTACCAAAGATTCAAAAGTTAGCTTGTATATCTCACAAATGACCAGGATTTAAAGCGAGCTTTTCTTATCAAGAAGATTTACAGTCAACACTACATGATTTTTTTCAATGGAATTTCACACCTATATATCTAACCTCATTTCCTACAAGAAGACACAATGGGTCAAGGAAGCAAGTCTTAATCTTTGAGTTGATGAAGTGGATAATTTATTATAAATGAATCTAGAGGATTTGATTGTCAAAAGACCCAGTGAAGAGAGCAAACTACACTTAAAACCACTTTTTTTTTTTTTATTGTGGCGCTGGATAGACAAACCATTATCATAATACTAGTAGATGGTGGGGAATCCATGATGATTACCAACTTGTAAAAGATTAAGGGATCATAAATGATTTGACCTCAACAGAAATGAAAACAACAATCTTCATGAGAAACATCCAAAAGACCATTAGACTTCATAACAAACCCTCAAAAGGAATGCAAGGCCCTTTTTGTCATAGAAGGGAACCCTACCAATTTCCCTATCTTAGAACGAGATTGGATTCATACATGGCAGTGTGTATTGCCTACTTTCCAACACAATATGATGTTTTGAAATGGTAACAAGGTGAAGATAGTTGAAGTAGAAGTCAATCCCTTTATGGAGGTACATCCACTCAAAATGAATTATAATCCCCTTAACATTTTCTATGATGTTGGAGAATGCATGAAGATACAAAAAATGTAACTTAACTATAAAGGGTTTCGAAGTTCAAACTAGAGCCAATATATGGTCTACTTCTCAAGATGGTAGTGATGATTAACAACCAACAAATAATTAGAGAGTGGAAAGAACAACTTAGAGGGTCTTCATCGTAGGATGATTCTATCATAATGCATTCCCTAGAATAACAGAAAAATCAAATAGTTTTCCACTACTAGGTGATGGCCAAAACAAGAAGGATTTCGCTTTCCTAAATGGTGCCAATGTTCGAAGCATAGGATTTCCTAAAAGACGTCAATTTGGGAGATATAATTAACACAAGGATGACCATAGCCAATGCCTTGAAACTTTTAAAGTAAGATGGTATCACTATGAAAGAGTAAAATTGGACTTTGTTGCAATAATTAAATTATTGTCCGATGAACGAACGAAACAGACTTTGGAGCACATTTTCCTTAACATGCTAATGGAGTTAGATATAGGGAAGTTGAAAACATTCATAAAAGCCAAATACTTGAAGAAAAAAGCACAAAGGATAGGAAGTTACATTGTGAGCATTTAAGTTTCCGGCTTCATGTGTTTGTTTGGGGGATTAGATTGGATTTACACTATTCATTCTATTTTTTTTCCCCAAAAATATCAAATCAAACACCTATTTTTTATTTTTTATATTATACTAAAAATCAATTTTACATTCAAAACATCACATTAACACCTATTTATATCACATCATACAACTATTCAAATTCAAAAGTTTTACAATTCAAATCCCAACTAAAAATCTAAACCCCCTAAACAAACACACCCGAAATAGATTTGTGCCACTCATTATTAGATAAGAATATCTCACCTCTAATTTCATCTGAAACTGTTTAGGGAGAGGAAACAATTGGCCCAAAATTGGATGGAGGATGAAAATCGAAGAAAGAGATAAGAAACTTTGGATGAACTAATGCTAATGGATGTAAGCGTCATTGCTCTGAAACACCCAAAACTCAGTAGAAGACAACCTAGTGGATCAGCCTTCAAACCATAAGATACAATCTAAAAAAATGCATTTTGTGTATTCAATTTAATATTATATTCGTGAAACCTAACCCTTAATTTACTTATCAGTGTTACGAAGAACTCAATATTTTTTAGGCCAATAAAGTTCAAAAGAAAATTTATCTCAGCTTTGATTAATTAGAAGATAGATAGGTAGATACCTGAATACCAGCCCAACCTTTGGAGATATCATCGGAGGTAGCGTCGGACTCATTGGCCCAACCCCACAACACCCTTCGATTCTTCTCAGGATCAAAGAATGACTTGGACGCATAAAAGTTGCCGTAGTCATATCTCAGCCTCAGCTCAGGCCTAGCCATGTCCGAATCCGGCACGTACCGATCTCGCGCACTGTCGTACCTCCCCATCATGTAATAATCATATCTCTTCTCATCCAAGCTCATTTTCAGCACGTGCTTCACACGTGGCCCTGCCGCCGAAACATCTAGTCCCTTCTCGTTATCCTCCGCCACCGGGAAGAAGTCCGGGCACTCCCAATTGCCTGTCCCCTCGACTTCGTGGAGGTGGTGCCCGACCTTCACCCACCGCCGGAAGTCCCGGCTCTTGTACAGGAATGCAATCCCCTGCTGGCCCCACCGGCCCCCGACGGCGATCCTCCACTGGCCCCCGTTCACGCGCCACGCTGTGGTCGGGTCACGGAAGGCCGTCCGGTCGACGGACTCGTCGCCGGCGATCAAGGGATTGTCGTCTGGCTTGATCCAGTCCCGGAGATCGGGGTCGGAGAGGTTCGCCGGAACGGCGTAGTTTTGAACCTGAGTGCCGGTCGCATCGACGACTCCGGTGTAGAGAATGACGGGGCGGTTTCCTGGAAGGATGGTGGCGGAGCCGGACCAGGTGCCGAAGAGGTCGAAGGGCTTGGAGGGGTAGATGGCGGGAAGGGGGAGGTGACGCCAGTGGATGAGGTCGGCGGAGACGGAGTGGGCCCAGACGATGTTGGTGCCCCAGACGGCGGCGTTAGGGTTGTACTGGTAGAAGAGATGGTACACTCCCTTGTAATACATTGGCCCTGCAATGCAATGCAGTAATACTACTGCACTCATCAATTCAATCCATTCCATTCATATAAATACTAGCTACACTACTACTCCATAATGTTGGTAGGGATGGATCTGTCTGTCTGTCTAAATCTAATGAAAGACACACCATTTTTAATTTGACGACGTCGATGATGATGATGATGATGATGATGGCCACTCACCGTTGGGATCTGTAGTTGGACGTGGCGAATTGGATTGGATTGGATTGCACCAAAAGATGATTGTCAAACTAGTCAGTCAGCCATTAACTGTTGCATTATATGTATAAATATATAAATATTATTGGCAATTACCATTGATCCAATGTTTATGGGGCTGAAAATGGAAGCCGGTCCGGTGTTGGTTTGTTACATTGGCAGGGGCAGATGCAGATGCAGATTGTAAATGCGCGAAAACGGTGTGGGAAGCATTGGCGTAGAGGAGAAATTGCTGTAGGGAGCATACCAATAATGCTGACAAACCCCAAATACCACTTCTAAATACTGAGAAATCCATGGGGATGAATGGGGCTTTGCCAGCAAGATTGATTTCTTTCTTTTTTTTCTTTTCCTTTTTTCTTTATTTTCTTCTTTATTGTGTTTTTTTTTTTTTTTTTTTTTTTTTCTTTCTGTACAAACTGTTGTAATAACAAGAAAAAACAATTTATTTATTTATTTATGTAGAGTGGAGGCAAAAACATTAAACGAGGGGAAATGAGTGAGAGTGTGTTTATTTATATTTATAGGTCGGGTGGATGAGCAAGCAAAAAGGATGGATTTTCTTTTTTGTTTTTTTTTAAGGGATAGGAAGGAAGGTTGATTTTAGTTAATGGTAATCCATGATGTTGTGTTCCTAAGTGAATGTTGTGTCTCTCGATGCTCAGACAAACATGGACAATCAATCAACAAATCTTCTACTTTAATAATAGTACCATATATTTTTTGAGTAATAATAATAATAATTGAATATATAAATATGGTTACAGCAGAGTATCAGAGTTAGTTAAAACGAAAATACAAAAGTAATTCCTCCCTTCTATGAAATTAATATAGGAATTGTTGGGATGCAAATCTAAGTCTCGCATCGGAAGTTGCGAAGAAAATTGCACATCTTATAAGTCTCAAGTCTCAAGTGAACTCCATTAGTATGAAACCTTTTGGAAAATGTCCAAAAAATGTTGAGTCAACCCAGTCCCAACAAAAACGAATGTGAAAATGTCCTCCACTCCACTCCACTCACAGAGGTTAAACTATAACACACACAGCTGATATAATAAACCAACAAAGAAGAAGTTACAACAGAGTATGTATGTATGTGATGTGATGTGTATGAATGAATGAGGTAACAACATTACTCAGCACAGCAGGCAGCAAGGGATGTAAGGATGGATGGATAACACTAGTACAACATTACTCTGCACCGAAAGAAAGGGTCCATCCAGTCGGCTTGTGTGCAGCAGCGCTTATAGTCGAAACATTACACTGATAAGTAAGTTGCTTGTTAGTTGATCTGCGAAAGAGGCGACCGTTGCTGAGTAGTATGGGACGGTTTACTTTCCTTCTCCGGTGGAAAAGGAAAAGAATCCACTGAATTGTTTTCCTGGAATTTTTCTTGAAGGGCTTCAACAGGCATGGCGCGAAGCGCCTCGATGCTGCTCTTGCTTGGGATATCCGCCTCACACTTTGCAGGCGTGGACCCACTTGGTTCGTAATCCTAACAATCAATAGCAAATCAGAAACATGTGTTTATCGAGTGATTTAGATGGTGTAGACAGAAACATTACACATTTTCTAAAACAATGTAATAATGTTGGATTCACAAGTTAAAGTAGGATATGTGAATTATATATATACCTTATACTTTTGCCGGAAGGTGACATCGGCATTCTCTTCTATGCAGGCTGCCTGCTGAGAATGGTTGCTCTTGAAGTTTTTGATTGTTTCTGAATGAGCGCTCGTAGTTGTCTGAATTTCGGAAATGGGTTGTCTCTCTTGTTCTGATAAGCCTAAATTTTTATGCCAGGAAGGAAAATAAGCAAACTTTCACGAATCGTACTGCATAAAACAATAATGTTACTGATGGAACCAACCATTAAGGCTTTCAATGATTTCCTCGGAGCTCTTCTCCACTGCTCCCTCGACTGTAACTCTCATAAGTTCAATTTCAATATCATGTTGCTCGTTATTCTCGGTTGTTTTCCTGAAACAGGTATTCCAGAATAGATATATAATCATGCGGGGCCATAATTTCTTGAAACTATTATCAATTTGCATAAATAAACGACAGATACAAACGTGTGTGATAGAGAAATGACAAACCTCACACTTGAAGCAATCGTCGAGGCATGCTGATTACCAATATCTATCAATGATTGTTGAGTTCTTTGCCAATGGTTTGAAGCTGTATCGGCCGTGTTTACGCTAAGAGGTAATAGCATCAAAGACCAAGGTCAAACAGAGAAAAGTACAATAAGAGGCCAAGGATGAGTTTGACTTTAGCCACAAAGTAGAGTTCGTAAATGATCATTGTAATAAGGGGGGAGGGAGAGGGGCATTTGTCTTACCATTTCTGTAACAATAACTCCATACGACAATGCTTAGCAGCTGTGAAGCCAGCATTATCCTTAAAGTCACTCTCAGCTTGGGTAAAACAATCCTCCCATTTCCTTTTTAAATCTTTCGTAATACCATCCATAGTTGAAACATGCCCATCAAAAGTTTTCTTGTTCTCATTTACAGTTTCTGTAAGTTCACACAGCCTTGTACCCACCTGCATTCCATCAATATTATTAGCCATCATCTAGTGAAGCTACAAACTACTAGGGGAAAAAAAATCGACAGAGCAGAAAAGCAAACCATCTTCTTCTGCCGACTCATGCAAGCAGAAACGAGATTAGTCATCTCAGATATAAGTTTCTCAGCATCTGATCTGGATTGTTCCTGAACAAATTGAAATGAATATATATAAGCAACAGCAGATATATTCACCCCAATTGTAATGTAGCTCTGAATTCATTAGTAAACCTCGTAGGCTTTCTGAAATTCAGAAATGCATTTTGTCTGAGCTTCATCAATTTCAGCAGCATGGTTGCCAAGCCTTATTGATTCTATTGAAAGCCTCTCAATAGCTTCATGAAGGGATTCTGACGTGTTCATCATGTGATTTATGCTAGCATTGAATCTCTGAGGGAAAAACTCAAGTCAAACATATCATATATGGTATATCTGCCCGTGCATAAGAAATAAATATGCAAGGATTTGTTTACCAGTAATTTGAAATAACCTCTCAAACGATCAAAACGGAATAACTAATATACAATGTGAATTAGGCCAACCTCTCGAAGCTCTCCTGCTAAGTGAGCCATTTCTACTTGGTGATCAGTTAGCGTTCGGCGAAGATCAGCAAACAGTGATTCCACTTCAATAGCCTCCGAATTTAATAACTGCAACATAGTGTTGAAAAAAAGGACGATGTTATAGCATGCAAAGTAATAAAAACATACAAAACATTATAAAAGGACACAAAAGCGTTTCATACATCTTGAATTGCTTTTGAGTTGGAAGCAGCCATGGTCGACAGTTCATCTAAACCAGCATTACATCCAGCATTATGCAGACGAATACCATTTTGAACAGCTTCGAAATGAGAAATACACAAAACCTTAGAGGAGCATACTTTTTTCTTCAATTCAGTGGACGCCTGCAAACAAAACAAAATAATAATAATAATAATAATAATAATAATAATAATAATAATAATAATAATAAATGAAAAAGAGGGAGGAATGCCATGATAGGAAACAACAAATTCTAAAACATCATATCTACCTGAACTCATTCATACAATTGAAATAACAGATAATATAAATTAAAACAACCATGTTGAAAGAATGTTACAATCAGATATCAGTACCTTTTCATGAACTTCAAGTAGAGAATTACATATTTTCTCAACACATTGTAGGTGTTCATCCTGTTGGGACACAGATCCTGTCACCAAGTTGCATAGCATACTGAGCTGTTGCGTAAGATCGGCTTGAAAGCTGTCAACAGTTGACCTGTTAGCAGCATTCATTTTCTCTTCCCGGGCTGAAAATAATAACAATGAAAAGAACTCAACTTTGTTCGACTCTGAGTCAATTAAGCTTTTAAAAGCTGAAATGCAAGAAAAAGGCATACCGAGTTTGAGAAATAGAGAGGCATTATCCTTCTGAGATTTTTCCAAATCAGCCCGTAATGCACATGCTTGACGGGCCAGTGCATTCTCTAATCATATTTAATAAAGACTATTTAGAAACCACTTCAAGAAAATTTCTATTTGCTAGTGCAGCCATGCAATACCTGCTTTCTTCTGCTCAGATATAATAAAGTCCCTTTCCTTGACTGAATACCGGCAGCTCTGGAGTTCATACTCACTGTCTGCCAACAACTTGCTTGTCCGGTTGAAATCTGCCTGTAAACAATCCAAAGTAAGCCTCACACACAACATCAAGCATTACCTGCCACAGTAAGTATGACTTACAAGTGTCTCATCCAGTCTGTTGCTCAAGTCAGTACATTGCTCAACCTGGGTCTGGTATTTGGATTGCAGTTCCTCAATTTTCTGTTCAGAGAAGTTCACCCATAAGATGCTATAATACCTAATTTGTGTTTACTGTAGAAAACACATCATGTAAGCTAACCTTCTGATAGTTTTCTAATGTCACACCCATTTGTTCTATCTGATCAGCCATTGCCTAAAATAGAGGAAAGCATGATGAGAAAATAAGAGGCATGCAAATGTAGACATTTACACATGTTACATAGCAAGGAATAAATAAATTTAAACAACCACAATGTGAAGGATGATTTAAGACAACCAAACGGATATTAAACAAGGTAACAAGCTTAATTAGGCCATTTCAGCATCCCTAATGCACCACACCTTTCTTTCATTCTCTCCCTGATAATAAAGCTCCTTAGGAATGTAGACCCCATTCTTTTCGCGTGAAGCATAAACCTCTGTTAATGAAGAGTAGAGAGAGAGAGAGCTAAATTCAATGCGAATTCAAATAGCATATCTGTTATAGAAGCTTCAGTGCAGCTACAAAAGTTTACCTGCTTTCAGCCGTTCTATTTCACCATAGAGATCCTTGATCAAAGTTGATTTCATCATCTTTTGATTTACCTATAAATAGAATGAAAATATTCAGAACAGGATATTTTTATGAGTGTGAAATGGTTGTGACTAGCATTGTTTTGAGAGTGCAATAGTGGCAGCTACCATTCTCATCAAAACACATTACTTTTACATTTAATATCAGGCTACACAAAGATGTATTGTCAATCAACAGTGAACTGGATAGTGGACACACCTAGCAATTAACAGTTTGAGCATCATTGCAATCTCTAACAATTACAAGAAAAATACATTATAGCTGAAAAGTCCTGTCGCCCAATAATAGATGCGATAGGGAGAGATACATATAATCCAAATTAAACAATAGCAACTTATCATATTTGGGCTGGGCCTGAAGTGACTGTAAGAAATTACTAATGTGTTCTGTATTCAATATGAGCATTACTGACAAACAAACCTAAAAATGTTAATCATAATGTCGATCATTAAGAAAAGACAACAGATGCAACATACCTCAGGCTTATTTTTAATATTCTTAGCTCTGTGGGCATAATCCAATGTGCTAAGTGTTTCCTCCAGACAATGAACAGCTGGTGATACAGTAGCAATAATGCATGTCTTAGTTCTTCCTCCCAATGAATCACGGAGCAAACGTGTGAGTTTGCTATCCCTGATAAGAGAAACAGCAGTTAGCACACAATGTTTGAAACTTCAGTTTAAAAGTATGTCAATTTTAAATAGCAGCTGGAGATTAAACCTATATGGAACATGCCCAAGATGCTCTACTAATGCGCTGATCACCCGTCCTAGTGTAAGCAAACTTTTATTTATTTCTCCAGCTTCTCTTGCCCTCCCCTTGAATTGTTCGGTGAAATGTCAGCATGAAAGTAGAAACAGCTAAGCCAGAAAAGGGGCTAAGTTGAATAACAATAAATTTACCTCAGAGTAGAATATCATATACAAATAATTCATTCTATGGTCACTATTGTGACTACTTGAGCTCAAAATAGAAATTTACCTCCCTAGCACCGGATCGCGAGATGTTCTCTGAACCAGCCAAATCTACCAAATTCAACTTGCCACATTTTATGAGCTCTTCTCCTTCTGGTGTTACTTCTTTTATATGTATGGTTATGGAGAACAGTGAATGTGATCGACTGGTGCCCAAAACAATATTTCCATTAAGTTCAATTTCAGAAGAGCAAACAAAATAAAATCCATTAACTAGCAGAACATAATGAAAACCTTGATTGCTTGTTAAGTAGGGTTTCAGCTGTTCGTCGCTTAGCAGATCCCCTTTCAATCAAAGTTAAAATCTCACTTGCACTTGTCACAATTTCTTCTTCTAGACCTTTGACTAGGACACCACCTTTCCCATCTTCCATTAGTGGCAATTGCTTTTTCTTGTCTTCAAGTGCAACTCTAGACAAATCTTCAGGGGCAAGTAAATCTGTAATCTCTTCATTATATAGCTCCAAGAAAGTGACTTTCACACTGTATTCTGCATTTTGACTCTCTAATGTGTCAAAAATTTGCTTTACAGCTCTGGGTATCACTCCAGCTCCAGGTGGCAGATCCCGACTTGCACCACCCTTCATAATATATATACACAAAATATAGTTAAAAGGCTGAATGATAAAGTGAAGTATACTTCCATGTGGTCATACCTTTGATCTCTTGCAGTCACCTTCCATGGTATAAGTCTTTCCAGTGCCAGTTTGTCCATAGGCAAATATTGTACAGTTAAAACCTTCCAAAACCTCATTTACAATTGGAACAACGGCTTGATCATAAAGATCTCTTTGTTGAGCATTAGGTCCAAACACCTGAATACAACCAAAATAAAAATCATAAAATCTCCTAAAAACAATCAGAACCAAAATGTTGTTAGCCATATGTTACAGCAAGTACAAACTACCATTTCCAGGGCAAAAAGAAGCATAAAGTCAAAATCGAGAACGATGAAAAAAAATTATGTTAAGCACCTAATTTCATTAGGGTTCTAACAGCATATGAATTGCGATCCAATAGCTCCATCAAAGAAGAAACTATGTGTTATAACGTTATAAATACATCCAAAAAAGTAAAAGAGGGTAAGGATTCAACCGCACATGCTAATAACATAATAATCACGATAATTTCAAAAACATATGCAAATAAATAAAGTATCAACCAAAATCAAATTTCATTTCATGTCATAAGAATTATATTCAATGCGTGGGTAAGCATATCAGAGTATGACACGTTTTACCTTATCAAAAGTAAAAACCCTGTCAATATGCTTGCCGGCAATGTTTTGCGAAACTGAGACCTCTCTCTGGTATTCGTTGCACGATACAACTTGCGGCACATTGTTCCGCAATTCATCCTCACTAAACGGCCTGCCAATTGCACCAATTTCCTTACTAGAGCCAAAGTTCCACCAAATAAAAAATGTTCAAATTAAAACCCTAAGAAGCATACCTGCAACGCAGCAGAACCTGAACATTCACTCCTTTCTCCTTCTCATTGCGACCCAACATATTTAGAACGGTTGCCTGTGGAGCTCGTTTCTACAGCGAGATCTCGTCAGCGTGTGCTGAACAAACAGTGAAAGAATGAAACTGGCGAGCGGAAAGGAGCGGATCGGGGCGCGTCGGTTAAATTTGAATTTTGAGGAGAGGAGCCTCTGCGGAATTCGGATCCAACGGTCCAAACATATATTTGAAGGAAATGACGGATATACCCTTTCATATTAAATGCTGTTGGGCCTCTATTAGGTCTTGGGCCTAATAAATGGGCCTATAGACCTAAACTATGCTTGAGGCAACCAGCAGCCTCTCTTAAGGCCCGTTTGGTTGAGACAATTAGGGAGTGTTTGTTTGGGTTTAGATTTTGGAGTGGAATTGGAATAATAAAAAAAGAATTTGAACTGAAATAGTTATATAATATGATGTAAATAAGTACTAAGCACGGTAAGAGTATGTCCGATATACTGTAACATAATTATATATATCTTAATATTTTAAGTTTACATATTTTAAATATATATTTTTTAATTATAATTTATGAAATAAATATATAATGTATAATTTTATAATGTTATACAAATATAAGTAAAAATAAAATAATTAGTAAAAAAATTATATAAAATAGTATACATACAACAGCGGAAATATATAAATCATAAAATTTAAGTAAAAATTGTTTTTATAAAATACCACCCAATCTTGAAATGTCAAGAAATGAAAAACAAAAATGTTATAATTATGGAGATTTTTTTATAATGTGTACATATTCTTCATATAAAACTAATCTCATACCTGAAATACTAAAGATGCATCATCTGGTTTTGCAAATATTATAGGCACAAAAACAATAAATGTAAACGTGTGGTTACTAAATACAGTCAAATAATTGTTTTAGTATTTTCTTTCCATTTATTTAAAAATATAAATAAAACATATAAAATATATTTTATAATATACAACTAACATATAAAATATACTTTGGGTCGTCATAGGCTTGATGACTTCTTCAACATAAAATGTATATTTGAGTTGTCTGTCGAATAATTTAATTTCATGGTCTCACTACTATCATACGTCTTTATGTAAACTTGATATACAGAATTAGTTAAAAAAAAATAAAAAATTCACAGACTATTAACATCAATTAATTGGACACGCACAATTATTCGAAAAAATTTTACCTGTAAAAATATGGTAATTATTTTAAATAATATTAAACACATAGTTGAACATATATTTAAAATTATATATCTAACTTCATCTTTATGTCTGAAGTCACATATATGAATTCGTTTGAGATTTGATATTTTCAATAAGTCTCGTATTGAAAATATTTTTGACCTAAAGAATGACACTAATATCTCTGCATAATAAAAGCCTTTAAATCTAAATAAAATAGTTAAAATCAATTATAATTAGAAGATTATAAAATATATATATTTGATATAAATATTAAATGTAATTATTCGCCAATTATGAAAAGTTTCTAAGCTCGTCGGTGGGTTTACATACATTTTAGTATAATGATGTGTGTAAACTGTAAATACATGTGCCTATAAATTTTTTATAAAAAAAACAATTGTAAAAAAAAAATTACAAACTAATATAATTAATGTAAAGAAAATAGGATAATTTAAATAACGGTATATAGAGAGTTAATTATATACCTTCAAAATTCTTTATCATAACACCACATGTCCATAGAATTTATTTTTTGACATGTATTCTTTCTCATTTCACTATCATCCATAGAATGTTTGATACGTAGAATCATGTCAACAATTGTCATACTTATATATATATATATATTATCTCCTATGTTCACCTATAAGAGTTATATTTATATTTTACGTTATTGTATTTAATATTAAAAATATCATTATATTTGTATAATTTTTTGTACAAATATCATTAAATTAGTATTACAAGACATTAATTGAAGTATTTTGGCTCTTTTCCCTTAATTTGTATTATATTTTGATATAATAATTATTATTCAAATATTAACACGCAAAAAGTAAATGTAACCCTTAGAGCCGGACGGAGGTAGTACATAGAAGTAAATATAATTTATTTCGGTACTAAAATATATTAAAAAAATAGAAATTAGCCGTGTATCTTGTATTAAAAAGAATAAACTCACGCATGGGATAATCATTCTCCAATAAATACTAATCATCCGTGTGAACAACCAAGTCATAATACATTTGCAAAAAAAATTAATAAAATAAATTACGAATTTAAGATTAGCAAACTATTATATATATACACAGTTATAGTTCAATATATCAAAGAGTTGGTCTTCCCTATTCACATGAGAATCTAATTCATTTAGAGGGACAATATTGTGGAATTCACGCAGAAAGTCTTCGTCGGAATCACATGAATTTTCGATGGTCACATTATGTCGCAATATTAGTTGGTAACGATGAAGTACTAATCTGTATATTTTATCAGTTATTATCACTTGTGCGTTATGACTATTATAAATAGCCTCTTTTGTAAGACATGAACTTCCCATTAACTATGCCTTGCATGACAAATCCCTATAGTGAAAATTTTCGTAAGGAACACTTATAAATTATGACAATAAAAAAAATATTATCAAAACCGTAGGTATCTAACTATGGAATGCAATTGTAGATATATATATACTTACATTAGCATCAACAAACAACATCTTCAAAACTCTTACATTATATTTTGGATTTCGCACATCCAATAATCTAATTAATCGAACTTTACTACTAATGTTGCCACACTTTAGCGTTAAATTTTTCAATCGATGAACAATTGCATCTGTATCATCGGAATAATTACATATCTAATTGTAAGTTATAAATAAATGTATAATAATATCGAACAGTAAAATAACTCACGTAATTAATAAAGTTGTAATTATTGCAAATTAACACAACATGAACTACATGGTATTATTAAAATAGAAAGGAAAATGAAGCATAATTACGAATATAATCAAGTACTTCTGAATACACTATATTCCTAGTACAATTGAAAGGGATATCACTTCTCTTCCGGATGACAATTTTTAATCCAAATGGATTTGTCACCCGTGACAATGCAACATATAGCATACCATAAGCAAAAATAGGATTCGGTAGGTACAACTCGACACTATCAGTTATTTGGCCTGACTTTTATTTATTGTCATCTCAAATGACAACTTGATCAGAATTTTTTTTTTTTTGAATTTTCATCTGAACTTATGTTTGAGTTTGAGTTTTGGTCCATATGATCCGTGGAATTAAAACTTCCTCACCTACATGAGAACCACTTATGATTCGCGCCTTAAGAACCTTATCACCCAATTTTAAAACAGTAAGTCGAGTTCCATTACATAGATCCAACGATTGATTGATATTTTTAAGAAGAAATTATTGGTGCCCAGTCTTTAAGCTCCAGGGAATGATTGGAAAATCCAAAAAGATTAATCATATTCAACCACTCGGGAGGGCTCAAATGTTGTTCTGAGTTTTTAGCTTCACCCGGTGCTACAGTGTCAACACTGTAATACTTCTGGATACCATCAGGAAGCATAGATAACATCATAGAATTAATTTCATCAACATTTTCATTTCTTTGTGCTAAATGGCTCCTTCTTTCAAATAAGTCGAGTCTTTATACCTTCTCAATCAAATGGGGATATGTTTATGCTATTAGAGAATTGATGCTATTATCTCCATATTTGAATATAATCCTCTCTGTGATTTCAATCCAATTAGATTCTCCACCATCTTGAAATTCAGATACATAATTTTTCCTTCACCCATCATATTTACCCATTCGGCAAAATGATGATTCATCAAGTGAATCTCGTGAGACATCTCGTGAGATGAATCTCATATTCATCTTCAAATTGATAACTTTTCATTGATTTAATAACTCAAAAATTATGAAAAGAAACTTCCACATTAACCTCACACATTCCTTTAGTGACTAAAGGCAAGATCTGCTTAAAATCTCCCTCTAATATGCATAAATTTCTTCCAAAAGGCTTATTAGAGTAGAAATTTTCAGAATTTATTAATATATCTTGCAATTTCCTATTCACTGCCTCAAATCTATGACGATGCATCATCGGTGCCTCATCCCATAATATAAATGAGCACTCTCAAATCAAATTTGCCAAATTTTAGTTGACATTAATGGAGCAATATGATGAACCATTCAATTCAATTGGTATCTTGAAGCGTGAATATGCGGTTTGACCCCCTGACAGTAACAAAGGTGCAATTCCAGATAATGCAACTGGTAGTACAATTTTTCTCTGTGATTGAAACTTAACAACGATGGTCTTCCACAAATATGTTTTTCCCATTCATCCACTTCCATTGACAAAGAAAAGCCTTCCATATTTACTCTCATAAAATTCAATAATTGCATTGTAAGCACGAAGTTGATCAATATTCAATCCTACAGTCAATGAATGACATGAATGTTCTTCATTACTTGCATTGTAATTGAGCTCTTCTCGTATCAGTCTATTTGATAGATAGGTAGATGATCTATCAGATGATTGTGACATCAGAGGAAAATCTGCAAGATATCTATCATTTTTGCTAAGAATCAATTTAATTTCTTGAAGCCCCCCAATCCTTGAGATCCATATCACTTACACAAACGTCATTTCTTGACTCTCTTTTGAAAATTGTAGAACAAATCATCAACCATTGACTTCCAATGTTGTTCCCATAAGTTAACAAGGTTGGTTAGCTCAGAAAACATAAGCATCGTCACAAACATAATCCGCAATTTTGAAGAAGAAGTCTAGCTGGCAGCTTCAGACAATGCTTCATGCCATTCATTGTTATTAGAAACAAATTACATAACTTAAACATATTTAATTATATAAAAAATATTTAAGTTAATATTATAATTTACATATTAATAATTTTTTTTTCTAACTTTTTTCAAACTCCGCTAGTGACTAGAGCTGTTAACAATCCGAACCGAGCGGAGCCAAATTTTAAGTGTTCGTTAACGTTCGCGAACAAGGCTCGTGTTCGTTCGTTAAGCTTTCGAGCTCGTTCGTAGTGTTCGAGCTCGGCTCATTAAGAATTTTTGTTGTTTGAGCTCGTGTTCGTGTTCGGCTCATTTAGGCTCGATTAAGCTTGTTCG